TCCTCATAGAATCGGGCTGAAATACAGGCATAAAATAGACCTCTCAGAGATGTACTTGTGCTATTGTATTTTAATCAACATTTAACACCTATTCACCCAGCCTTATATCTCTCTACCTTTCGCTTTGTGTTTTAATATCACCTAGATTGGCCGGTGGGGAATTAAGGCTGTGTCCTGACCCCAGATTGCATGATACCAGGCACATGTACAGAAATAGCATAACCTCGCATCATCATTGCTACCACGAGGGACGACGATGAGTGTTGCTGCTGCTGATGAAGTCACCAGGACGACATATGGGGGATGTGGTGTAATAGTCAGTAAATCCCGGGAAATCGCTTCTCCAGGTGACATGAGTGTTTCATTTATTCGTACCTGTCAAGAAAAATAATCTCTGTCCACGCTGATGGAATGTCACCCTGCTATATCCGGTTTAGGGAGCCTAAAATGTTGGATTTCACGTGGTAATTACCGGAGCCAGAAGATGATGATATGATGGGGATGACGCTGTTTGCAGCGAGATAGCAAAGTGATGGGCCATTTTTACCTGAAAACGCATTTAAAATGGTTCATTTCTCTTGTTTACCACAGAACTATCGTGCATTAGTGAGGGTCAGCATCCTTTGCAGTGGACATATGCGCTGAAAAAGCTCCTGTGGTTTGTGATCATCATAAAGAGCGGATGTTAACATTGGTAATGTGGTCATTTAAAGGTTTGCCTAAAAGGCTATCTTAAAGAGATAGGTTGGATATTTTCTTTCTGAACTTTTTCAGCGATCAAAATACTTTTTAAAAAAAAATATATTCCATGAGCTCCATGAAATCCAACAGGATCCAAATGACGATAAGATTAGTCAACACTCCAATTATTGGTTGATTTATGTCTTTAACAAATAATAAAAACATGCCAGTTTGAGGAAAGTCTCTTTTCCCAGCTCTGGCATTCATGTTTTGTTTTGGTGACAGGTGTTGTTCCTGAAGATAAGGGCCAGTTAGGTCTTCTTTTGTGGGAAGTGGGCCTTGCGGCTTTGCCCTCGGCCACCTGTTGGGAGGCTGTTTGACCTGTTGTGGCAGCTGTGTGTGTTTATACACCTATTCTGATTAGACATTGACAAGCTTTGTCATGATTCGGTGACCTGAAGCAACAGTGTAGACTGTGCTGACTTCCCCACTAAATCTGAGCTGTTAAGTTTAATTGCTGTCTTAAATTTCTTATGTCAAATAAAAATAGTGTCAAAGTGACAACCAGCAGTGAAAGGTTGCATGGCACTTTTTGACAACTTGTCACCCCACCCCTCACTCTTTCAGCAGAGTAGAAACCATAGAGTGGGAATTGCAAGTTAAACAAACAGTAAAAGTGAAAGTCCTATTGCTATGCCAAAGTGGTTAAGATATATATATATATATATATATAAAATGCCAAATACCTCAGTTTTACATGTATCAAAATAAACTACAAAATACAGCAGCCCCAACAAGTATCAAAATAAAATACTGTATTTTGTACTTTGAAAATACTACAAAATACTTTTACAAGGAAGCAAAACATTTCACATGTTAACTGACTTCGTGAAATAAGCAATGAATGATAATAACTGCTTTTCTCTGCGCAAGTTTAAGTTAGCTTCTCTGTCACTAATTCACCTCTACTACTGTATTTGAGGAGATATTCATTAACTTTGGTTTCTCTTCCATTTTTGGTATAAATTTTGTACAAGATGTTCTCTTTAATCATCATAAAAACCATGTAATGTTGATAATGAGAGGTAACATAGTACTAATTCTCTTCATTGTGTTTCCATTTATTGTGTGGCCAGTAAAACTGACACAATCTCTTATCAGTCTTATATTTTATGAAAGTTATTTATATTTTACATTTATTTTTTTTAAATAAATGTACTTTTTCAATTAAAAATGTCAATACTTAATCTAAAAATATGGTTTCTGAAGACTACTAAAATATATAGTTTTAGTAATTTTCATGAATCATGTTTTTTTTTGTTTTTTTTTTCATTTGTACTCTTCAATGCACAACATAAAACATGATATCTGTTTTTGCAAAAAAATAAAAATAAAAAATAAAAAATTCTACATTCTGCTGCTGCTGTGTAACAGCAGTCTGGTGTTTTTGACCAGTCTGTATAGATTGAAGTATTATTGAATATTTTTGTGTCATATACTGTAATGTGGCAATTTGATATTTTAAGACAGACATCTTTAATCTTCATGAACAGCACACCTGCAGGTCAACTATAGCCAATGAAGTATTGTATAGGAATCATCAGTGTAGGACTTATTTTAATTTTGTTTATCTAATTTTCTTGGCATCTACATCAACAATCCATTTAAAACATGAGCAGTTTACTCTTTCTCGCAAGAGTTTTCAGTTCATTTTTAACTGGAAGAGTCTCAGTTTACTTCATGAACACCAGTGCACCATCTTTAGGTGTTATTAATTTCTAAACTTCCTCTGAATTTCCACCTGCAGCACTGAGACTGATGATGATTATGTGCTGTAGGATCCATTTTCCTGTTTTTGGACTGACATTTTATTCCATCTTATTGCTTAAGCAAAGATACTAATGTATTGTGCACTCTACTGTCATTAAATATTAATGGCCTTAGCATTGTGCAGTATACTATTTTCAATGATTGTTGACTTGCTCCTAAATATATCCATACCATGTGTCAGTTATTTTCTTTATGTGTCCATAATTTCTATAAATACTTCAATCATTGACCACTTTCTTATATTTTCTGATTTCAAGTTTAGGCAAATAATTGAGAAAGTACTTATCAGGGGCCTAATATTTATGAATTCATCATTTCATCATGTACTTCTTACAAAGTATTTTAAAAATACAAGACACAAGTATTTTGAAATACTATTAAGTATTTAAAATACGTGTTTATATATATATATATATATATATATATATATATATATATATATATATATATATATATATATATATATATATATATATATATATATATATATTTTTTTTTTTTTTTTAATTTATTTTTATTTTTTTTTCAACAATAAATCAAATAACAATGTAGTAATATCTGGGCCAAGTCTAAGCCAAGTTAATAACCCATAACTGGGCCTGAACTGGGCCAGATATGTTGGTGTGTCATGACTGCAATATGTTTTATAAACACATGAAGCATTTCGCTTTATGGCTGTGTTTCTTCTCGAAGCAACCTCATTGATAGAATTTTTTTTTTGCTCAAAAATAATTTAAATGTATTTTAAAAGTGGGTCAAGATAGGCCAAACTTATGTGGCCCATATATACATTTAAACATCTGGGCCAAATACTACATTTGAGATCTGGCCCAAGTCTTGAGTGCTGCCTGAAAGACGGTGCCACCTCAGCTAAACCTGGGCCATGTTTGGCCCACATGCTGCATGCCAGTGCCGGGCGAATGCCTGCTGTGCCAGCTTTATGCCAAATCTGGGCCAGAATTCTTTGCTACCTGGAATGGCGGCTGATGCAGTGAATCTCCAAAATTATAAATTTTGTAAAATATGCACTATCCTTATGAAAAACTGCATACTTGAAATTTAACCAACTATATACTTGACAAAAAAAGCCTCAAAAGGACTATTTTGTCCATCAGCACCAATATTTGTAAAACTGTAGTGTCCTCAGCTTGTCGTTGTATGTGGGCGGAGTAATACACAAGGGTGAAGGGTGAAGAGGCTACACGGCTATCAGGCAATCAGATTCAAGAACCAGACAGAACTCTTGTATATATAGAGGAATTACCAACCTACGTCAAACATGATGTCACACGGGTTAAACCCCGCATACCGGTTGTAAAAACAACCCCAAAAAAAAAAAAAAAACGGTTGAAATAGCAAAAATTGAAAGACCAAAAATAGAAAATGTAAATTTTACCATATACCACACTGGTTTTAATGCCAACTGCAGACGTCTTTGGCTTACAACCATCAGAAGAGCTGAATAGAGTGAGGACCTAATTACAAATGCTCGGCTCTGCAGTTCTCATTTTATATCAGGTAAGTTCATGCTATGCTGAATCATACACAATACTCGTTTTTGATTGCAGCAATGATTTCTGCAAAAACAGTTTAATATGGTTTACTAAACTGCGAACACTGAAGGCTAAGAATGACATGTAAAAATGTAGGTTTGCATACCCTTCCGTACAGGTGCAGTTCGCTATCAGAATGCAGTTATTTTGCTTGTTTGATTACCCAGCCTTGTACAGTGGAAATCACGCTCAGTGGGGGGAATATCGCGTGGGGTCCCCACCGTCCGTTATGCCACTGCTTGCACATGACCACACAGAACACAATTGTAGGCACCCCAAGACTTGTAAGCCTTTAAGTTCTCTCTTGTAAAATCACTTGGAGTTTTAATGATATAGTTGTATATTTTTGGGCTGGATGCTTGGTTATTGCATTTTATGACAAATATCCATTTGGGAGGGCCCTATTGCAAATGAACCTGTCAGACAAATGGCACTCACTTTAACGTTAATTTTACAGAATAACTGTGCTTATCACTGGTTGACAAGCTGTTATAATATGCTGAAAGCATTATATAAATAATATAAATATTATGTAATCAGTTTAACTTATCTCTAATCCAACAACAAACTCTTTACTGCATCGAATGTCCCTCGCTGTAAATGCTAGCACTCCCAGTAATAATGTGTGTATATATATATATATATTTATATATACATTTTTTTTTCAACAATAAATCAAATGACATTGTAGTATTATTGTTGTTGTATTTGTTATTCTTTAGTCGTTTAGTTGGTTTTTATGGACCTTGGGCTCGGAAAGCAGAAAAAGGAGTGGAGGAGGCAGGTGTTTTTTTCTAAATGAAATGTTCTTCGCTAGTTTTTTTTTTCATCCCCAAAGCTTATTTGTTTGGTTCAGCGAAGTGTGTCCAATGAGAGAAGCAGAGAGGAGGGACCGGGGCGGAGAGACGGAGCCCAAAAGAGAAGTTGAGCGAGAGAGAGAGGGAATGAGAGACGTGCTGTCAGAGTGAGAGCTGGAGGACATGCATCCATTTCTACACAATATCAGACTATCGCTACTTTCCCTCTTACACATTTACAGACGCCACTTTAAATCGCTTTTCTTCACTGGAGGGTGATCATGCTAATTAATGCAACGGGTGGATTTATCTTCTAAAACATTTAGCAGCGCGCTAAATCATTTCCCCCAAATTTGTTTTCCGCTTATTTCGATCAGTGTTCAGGTGTTAAAACGCAACAGATTTCGTCCGTAGGAGTCTCGTTTTAATATTTAACGCTTTACACTTCTGACATTAACCTCCAATCTGGAATCACGGCTTGTCAACGAGCGGAGAAGAAATTATGGCATGATTGTGGCAACATGAAAAAGAAAAAGTGTGGAAGAATATTGTTGCACTGCTTTTGAGATCACCATATGAAGGTGGAGATAGACTGACAGGAGAGAGGTAAGTGACAGAGAAATACGTCTGATGGAATCAAAATCAAACTCGTTTATATGATTCCTGTAACTATTTCTATATCATTCTAAATGTACCAATTGATTAATATTATGCTTTCTACAGTGTATTTTAGAAGCATTGCGAAAACTGAAATTGTATAGAGCAGTGATTGTAATCTAATGAGTCTTGCATTCATCACAGGTCAGTGCAGAGGCCACTGTTTGACCATTGCATTTATTTATTTATTTTTTTGGAAAAATACAGAGACTCTCGCTTGCATTTATGTGACAGATATTGCTGAAAGGAGAGAGAGGAGAGGAGGGGGTGTCAGAGAGAGAGAGGATGAGAGAAAGCAATTGAGAGAGAGAGAGAGAGAGAGAAAGCTCGGAGCGTTTAGTAGATGGGTTCATGGGTTCATCAGTTTTTTCTGTTTTTCCACTCTTCCACGTAAACTCCTTGAGCACATTGCTACAGCTCACTGTAATTCAACTCTTTCAGTCCACGCCTCGTTTATTAATATAAGGGGAGTCCCCCATTTAATCCAGCCTCCTTTTGCACCTGCTAATTTTGTACAGTTATAAATAACATAACGATCCATTCTTCTCCCTTTCTCTCCCTCCAACTGAACTCCAGAGTTGAGGAGCAGAGCGCAAACAAACCTGCTGGAGCCTGGTTGCCATGGATCCCCCTCCCTCTCTAAATCTGGCCCTTCTCAGCGGGAGTGAAGACGAAGAGCAGCGTCTGCCCCTCCCTCTCGGTGGTATTTCCCATGCCTCCCTCTCTGGCAACTACCCTGGGACCAACCACTCGAATCACACGGGAGGGAACAGCAGCCTGGAGCGTCTCAATGGCACTCCATCGCCCACCACGCCAAACCTTCCCCCAGCGTCACTGCCCAAGTTGCCCCTGTCCACAACACCCCAGCTTTCCACACCAATCCCCAACGCTCTTCACCCGACCAGTACGCCACTCTCCTCCTGCTTGGGAAGCCAACACAGCTTAAGCGGGGAGACTTCACCCGTCTACAATGCTCTGTTTTACTCTTCTCATTCACCTTCCACTGAGCGGGAACGGGAGCGAGAGAGGGGATGTAAGCACAGGCAGGCCAGTCCCCTGGTGCACAGGCGGGACAGTAATCCTTTTACAGAGATCGCCATGAGCTCGTGCAAGTACAGCGGTGGTGTGATGAAGCCACTTAGCCGCCTTAGCGCCTCCCGCCGGAATCTCATCGAGTCCGACAGCGGAAGTGACACCAAAGAGGGTGGTGCGAGCACAAGCCAGGTGACCGCGGCCTCCTCTCAGCACAGCCAGCCCCAACCCCAGAACCCCCCAGAGATCGTTATCTCCTCGAAAGAGGATCCGCCTTATGGACATGCTTACGAACTTGAGGCCTCAGCCAATCAAATGTCCATCTACCACCAGAACCACGCCCTCTCTGAGAGCAGGAGTGTGCTCGGTGGGGCGGCAGGGGGCGGGACTAATGGAAGGAGGGGCGGTGCTGCGGGAGGGCCTGGAAGGACCGCTTCTAAAGCTCCTAAACGTAAGAATCAGAACATTGGCTACAAACTAGGCCACAGGAGGGCACTGTTCGAAAAGAGGAAGAGACTTAGTGACTATGCCCTCATATTCGGCATGTTTGGCATTGTTGTCATGGTGATTGAGACCGAGCTGTCCTGGGGTGTCTACAGTAAGGTGAGGACTTTGTGTACAGGGGACTGAATGGTTGGGCACGAGGACACATCCGGCTGGTCCTGCTCTGTGTGTATGAAATTGAATGAGAGTATGTGCATGTTTCGGATATCAGAATCAGAAAGAGCTTTATTGCCAGCTATGTTCGCACATACAAGGAATTTTTTTTCATGACAGATTTTTTTTACAGTGCAACAGAATTACAGAGACAAAAACAGATAATAACTATATTTTAAAAATAGAAGTAAATATTTGTAAATAAGTGAATGCAAATATACAAATTGACACTGATGCAGCTATTCACACTGAACTACAGTATATAGAGTAATTAAAGCGGTCAGCATGATATAATCAATTTTAATGACATTTAAGGAGTTGGAGAAGATGTTTGACCAAGCAAAATTCACTTTAAGTGACAGTTTACCCAAAAATCATACTGCCCCTTGCCCTTGTGTTATTATAGACTTGTAAAACTTGTTTATCTTTAGAAAACATAACCATAACATTATCAGTGCTTTTACAATTACGTATAAATATATATATATATATAGACCACCTGTCAAAGGTTTGGGGTCAGTTGGATTTTTCAATGTTTTGAAATAAGCTTATCTTGCTCACCCAGGCTGCATTTATTTTTGCAAAAATACTGTAAGAGTTATATTTTATAATTAAGTATTGATAAACAGAATCGTTTTCAAAAAAAAAAACGACGCTAAACTTTTGACAAAAAAATATTATCAGACAAACTGTAAACATTTCATTCCTTTGGTAAACATCATTTAACAATAAGAAAAAATTGAAAGGGTTTAATATTTCTGATTTCAAGTATATATATATATATATATATATATATATATATATATATATATATATATATATATATATATATATATATAAATACACACACACATACATACAGTCAGTGATTGGTTGCATTTTTTTGCATGGAAAAAAAATGCATCTTTGACCTTTATCGTAATATAATCCACTTGAAGAAGTCACAAATTTCAAGAATGTGCGGGCGGCTAGATGATAACAAAATATTCCATTTAGAGCAAATGATCTGCGAAAAGTGTGACTCATTTGAAGTGACCAATTATAGAAGTGCAGTGTGAACGCGTGATTTGTGCCACAATCGCCAATAATAATCATGCAACTTAATCATCAGTCATATAAATAAATGTATTTTTTGGAAGTCATATTCAAAAGCTCTCAGTTTGAATGGGCACAAAGTGTCTGATCACAGGGTACTTGTAATTTAGAAGGTGCAAAGCTATATAATGTTACACAAGCTAAACTGACAACCTCTCAACTCTCAAAACAAACAAAATTGGTATGGCATTTGTTACCTTTTTGGGAACAGAGGCAGCAATGATGCACCCTTGTATCTGCTAAGAGTGTGAATGATTTGAATAGTTTGTGGTGAACATACACATGTGCAGTAGACATTCAAGGTTAGTAATGCTGCTGTCAGAGTAGTAGTGACAGGATCAGATGTCTGCGGGCTCAGAAAGAATTCTCGACAGCTGACTGAGAGTTTTGGAGAGCAGATCAGTAGTGTGATTTAAGAAATGTTTGGAAACTTCTGGGACCAAACAAGCTCCTTGAAGAACATTTTGAATGATCCCTCTGGCTATTTTACTTGTAAGACCATTATAATGGAAGTCATTACATCCAGAATAAATGAAAACACTGTATCAGGAGTATGACTGCTTATGTGTCATAATGAAAATCCTGTAAACACCCTGTAATTTTTTACATGATATGACAGTGGACTGTTTACATATATAAATATTACACTGTCAAATTTAAACAGAAAATCTTACTGTTAAACGCTGAGCACTTTTATACAGAGTAATCAATATAATTGGTTTAACCAAAACCTAAGCAGAAAATTTCAGCTTTTAAAGCCTCCAAATTATCTAGACTTCCACTATCTATGTTTTACTGTAAAGAAACAAGAGTGGAATCAAATTTGTTTGTGGAAATTGAAAGCATTGTGTAATAAAATTGAGTTATTTAAGTGGTGTGGGTTGAGGTGTATGTTGTTTAGCTTGTTGAAACAGCTTCATTCATGCTGCTGGGCTATACAGACTTTTGCATGACAAAGCTCAGTTTTACTCTGCATAAGTTATGAAGTCATTGAGGTGGGAACGCACATGCTCTAAGTCGGCTCCTGATGTAAAAATCAAGTGTTGCTTGATTGACGATCATAGTAGATGTAACTGCCATTACAGCCTACATAGTCAGTCAAGAACTAGTTTTTATTTCAGGCTAGTAACATTTCATATAAAGCCAAAGTCTCAAAATCAGTGCAAGGCTGAAGTTAGGTAAGTGACGGATTCTTGTGTTGTTGCATTTAAGGATTGAATGTAACTGACACATCATGTCAAGGTGAAATATTTTCTACTGTAATAGCCACAGTCTCAGATTGAAAGCTGAATGTGTGCGAATAAGAAAAGGACAGAGAGAGCCGAGCTTATGTTCAACTTGTGTTGCTCAGGTCGCAGTATTTATGCTAGTGGAGGGTAACATGCTAATTTCAAGTAATAAAACTGTCATGGAACTTTACAGTTACTGACTTTACAGTCACTGAGATGTAGTCAGGTCTCGAACGAGACTTTAATAATAAAATGTTGCTAAGCGATCATCTAGATAGTTTAATATGCTTACCAGAAGTGTACATGCATGTCCATGTACAGGAACATGCATAATTTATTCTCATCTAATTTTAGAAGAATTAGACATTAGCATGTTGCTAATCTAGTACTCTAACACAGTAGTATTCAACCTTTTATCACTGCAGACTGGTCAACACTTGACAATTTTACCGCAGACCACTGGGCAGGGTGGTTTGTAGGTTGCTAGGTGACTATCAACTGTTCAGAGGATGACAAGCTGACATTGCTGTCACTCTGATACAAGTTTTTTTTTTATGGAGGAAATTACAAAGCACTGCAGTGTTTGGGTGTTCTGTGTTTGTCTGAGATAACTAGTCAACTAAAATGTGTATATTCCATACAAAGTATAATGCTGATTGATCAGTTCGCGGTATGCTCACGGCATTCATTCAACTGGGAGCATCTGGAAGGTGTGAGTGCATCACGCCACTTGAGCGCGCAAGTCGCGCACCTCCATTGGAAATAATAAATTTGCGCGAACTCTAGAAAAGCGATGTGCAAACGACCCCTTAAAGGCCGACATCATTTGTGATCTCCAGCGGTTGATCTTCTTGCCTGAGATTTGCCTGATTTGATGACAAATGTGTTGCAAATCAATCCTTGGCAGTTCATGAGTTCTTCACTGGGCCCTTTCCTTTTAGCAAAGAAACTTTACAAAGAAGTATCTTACTCATTTTGCTTCTTGTGGGTTAAATTTGGGCACTCAAGTGACCAAGAAATAGAGGAGAGAATATGGTCATTTTTCATAATAAAATATTTTTCATAACAAAAGATTGTTTTGACTAAATCACACTCCAGATGCGCCGCTCAGCACCGCAGGTCACATGATAGAAAGTATCGCACACCAGACACACACATTCGCAAGTTGTTTAAAATTAAATTACTCAGATGCATACTCACGTGCGTAACATGTCCCGGTAGTCACATGTATCATCAACAAGAGAGGACTTGCGCAAAGCTACCAGGAATAAAAGGTCTGTCCAGTTTGCTAGGATCGTCAATCATCAGCAAATGTGATCAAGAAGAGTTAGTTTCACAAATTTAAAATGTTTTAAAACAGTGCATGTGTGTAATGAATTACAGCGATTTACTTCAGATTCACTTCTTCAGCAGAGCCGCATGTCAGAACAATTATAAAAGAAGATGCTTCAATCCCGGTTTGTGGATGTTAAATCAGGTTTATTTTGTACACTAACACAACGGATATCCATACAGCAGTGGAGTTTAACCTGTCTCCTGTCACATTTGCGTGCAAAAAGAGTGCAAAGCTAAACGCGTTCTGTCTGTATGTATGTGCATATCATATCCGTGCTGGGTATGTGTGTGTCTGTCTGTGTGTGTGCGCGTGAAATTCGTAACGACATTGTGTGTCATTGGTAAAGTTCTTACTGTAGTATTTCTCACAAATGCTACGTTAGATCTGCTTCCTTTATGTTTGTTTGTTGTCTGACGCAGCCAAGGGAGGAGATTAAGGCACTCAGAAAGGCACATAGAAATGGTGGGCGGGGAGGACTAGCCTTAAAGGTGCAGAACAGCAAAACCGCCACCCAGTGCAAAAGTGTAAAAAACTGAATCTTATAAAAGTTATAATAAAAAATATGATGGATGTTTTAAGCTGAAACTTGACAGGCACATTCTGGACACACAAAAGATTCATAAAGTCTGAAAAAAGGATTAACCTAGGTGCCCGTTAAATTAACTCTAATAGAGTTTGATGTTAGCACATTGGTAGGCTAATAGCTGGATATTTTAATACACTTCACTACACAGCACATATCAACATTGAGTATTGACATGATTTGGGGATTTACACTTTAAATTAAATGAACAGCACATATAAATACTTAATGGTATACACAATCGCACAACTCTCCATTGAGTCCAGTTAAGAACAATGTTAGCATGTTGCTAGGATAACTTTTGTATACTATAAAATGCTACAAAAAAACAAAAATATTGTTTAAATCTACATGTGTGGTTAAACTGTTTTTAAAGCCACTGGTCTATTTTTAGAACAGTTTTCATCTGTGAATGAATGTTTATTATTGGATTTAAATTTTAATTACATTTCTGTTTTTGCTGAGCTTGCCACAATGCATTTTTAACAGTTACCTTGAAAGCTACATGCAACGCTGCTTTCAGATGTTCCCAGTTTAAGGTGTTTTAGAATACCTAAACTGCATTTTCATAAAAGCCTTGATGTCGCTGAAAATACTCGGTAGGATTTGGACCGGCGCCGTCGTCTGAAGTGTGTGTCTGTGAGCGAGTGGGATTGCTCTCCTGCATCTGGCACTGTTCTGAATGGATCTGTCTCAGCATGTA